CGCCCCCTCCCCCCTCCCCTTTGTTTTTACAGGTACCGGTAGAAATTCCTTAAAACATCGGTGATGGTGCTGCTGCATGACTGCCACCTTGTGGCCATCGTTGAAGCCGTGGAGAGCTCACAGGCTGCTGTTGCCGCAACTGCTGCAGCAGCATCACATCAAGATCTGCAGAAGCAGCAGAGTGTAGTTTAGGCTTCTTTTTTAGGTCTCCCTCTGCCTGCTGAACCATTTTTATATACGAGGGAGAGAATCTGTGCAATCCAGAAGTAGCTGATGAGACACACCATAGAAGCCATGAGCTTCACAGGCAAAGGTGTGCTTTGACAGCGACAAGTGGCGGCTGTTAAAGCAGTGCCTCCAACAGACCTGGCAATTATAAACACAAATACAAATCCCAATTCTGCCGCCCGGTTCAAAACCCCAAATGAAACCCCACATAGGCCGCACGGTGCACGTACACATGAACTTCCCGCACCAACACCTTTGCAACCGCCGCCTTCCATCTTGCAAGATGCTGCCTCAGAGCAAGGGGCCGTCGCCTGCCCCTGCGGGTACCCCTGCTTCCCCTTATCTGTGACGGAAGCAAAGTGCCGTGCGAAATATCGCAGGTGAAGCAATGGCGTGCTGCATTCGCCCAGGGTGAGGCCTGCAACGAGTTCAGCACCTGCTGAGTCCTGATAGAAGCTGTAGGCAATAGCGCAGAAGGCCCCCAAGTGGTGAAGAGATCCGGGGATGTCTTTTTCAAGAAGAACATACATCAGGTCATAGATAAAGAAGGAGAAGGAATACAGCAGCAGCGCCCGCTGCAAACTAGTCGTTGCGACGCCGAAGTACGGGGGGATACCACAGGACCCAGCTGCAGTAGCATCAGATCCGCGAAACACGCCTCTTAAGCCACCCTCAACGTACAATATGCAGCATCCCCATACGACTATCAACGAGCTGTGCAAAATACACAAGAGTCGGTTGATGCCGTGACGGGGCCACATGCTCGGCTGCAACAACGGGAGCCGTTTCTCCCACCCAGGCCGCCGTACCTGTTGAAGCAGCAGCAACAGCAGAAAGTGCAGGCAACAGAACATAGACATGAGCGGAAAGCACCACCAAGCAAGCGACGGCAGCCGTGGGAGGTGGCTTTGTAAGAAGGCGCCCAGAGGCGCAACAGAAGGCGCCCCCCGCATAGACGCAACCCGTCAAGTGACGCAGAAACCTTGCCTAAGGCGAAACGTGTTGACTATTTCATTCGACAAATATGCAGTCAGCGGGAAGATAACGCCTGAAGACGTTGGCAACCCGACGCGAGGGCCCCTGCTGGAGCAGAGAACTCCTGCGGTGCTTCTGCCTACAGGGGGGAAAGGGAGGAAAGACGGAGGAAAAAGTAAACTAAAAATAAGGGGAAATCTAGATGGTACTCAGATTCTGTTGCTCAAACTTCGCTGGGTCCAGCCGACTGCTTCTGTTGAGAAGGAGCTGCGGCTCCTTCAACTACAGGAGCTGCAACAGCAGCAGCTGCAACAGGAGCAGCAGCACTTGGCGGCTGAAAGCCACGGGTCCAAAGGTGTTGATATTCTTAGCAAATTACATAGAAAGAATTTGCTGTTGCTCTAGTTCCTTTTGCAGTTGGTCCTACTACAACAGGTCAGCCCCACACCGGGGGCCTCTAGGGGCCCCTGGTTCTCCTGGTGGGCGTCAGGCACCTCTTGAGTGCCTTCTTATGGAAGAAGACGCAAATCACGGGTGTTGATAAGGCAAGAGATAGAAGTTTTGTAAGGGGGACGCGTTGTTGTCTGCTAAACCCTAAAACCCTAAACGGGGCTACTCTACGGCAGCGGACAACGTCAAGATTTCCTTGCTCTTGCCTGGGGGTTTTCAGGACCCCCAACGTACGGGCACCTTCTGCAGATGGAGCTTGTTCACGTGAAGCGTTGTAAAACGTGCAAAAAGGGCACCGGCAGCAACAACAACAACTCCAACACTGGCAGCAGCCGCAGTCGGCACAAGAACTTAAGTGGCCTCAAGAGCATTAGGTAGCTCGTTCAACCGAAGAAAGGGTCGGCGGCAGTTAAATGGCCGAGAGCAGCAACAGCAACAGCAGCACTAACAGCAGCAGCAGCCTGACAGAGGCACTAGGGCACAGTTTTGGGCGCAACCAAGATGGAAGGAGGAGGCAGCACAGCGCTGCTGGATGACTCAATCTTCGGGGAAGACGATGTTGGAGTAGGGTTAAACTAAATGGTTGTTGTTGCTGCTGCTACAGATGCTGCTACATTTGTTCTTTGGTGTCTGCAGCTCGTGTGCGCCTGTTCAAGTATTTTATACATGCGAGGAGCTTTTGCGTTGTTGCTGCTGCTGTTCCAGGGTTATGGCGGAGGTAGCAATGCTCTGCTGCTGATGCCGCGGAAGCCCAAGGAAAAGAAGTCAGGCGGGCCTAAGAAGCAGCAGCAGGAGCTGCAGCAGCGCCACCAACAAAAGAAGCCCAATAGTACCAGGAAACAAAGGAAGTTGCAGCAACTGTTGGTGGGTCTGTTGTACTCTAGATTTTCAATTTCAACACTCAAGCCGTATGAATGCTGCTGCTGCAGTGCCGTTGGCACCTCGGCCGTAGCTGCGTAATGCTGATGCTTCTTATGTGCTTATATTTTTGATCTGGTGATGCGCATGCTGCAGAAGAAACACACGGACAGGGACCTGAAGGCCGAGCTGTGCAAGGAGCTGGAAAAACACCAGTTGAAAGCTAGTGGGCTGAGTCTTCTTCTGTGATGCTGCTGCTGCAGCAACAGCAGTAGCCGGTTCTCCTTACACAGCTGTTGTTGCTGTTTGCATGCCAGTTGTTGCTATTCTTGCTCCTGCCGCTGTCGTGTTTGTAACTGCTGCCCAAGCCGCTGGCACAAGGCTCATTACTGCTCGTTGTTTGCTGCTGTTGCAGTCACGAAGCCACTGGAGGAGAGTGCTGCAGCAGCCATTGCTTCTGATGTAATTGCCCCACCAGGGGACTCCGACAATGCTGCTTTAACTCAAACAGCAGCAGGAACAGTAGCATCTGCAGCAGGCATTCATAGCGAAGAGGTACAGCTAGCTAAGGCGCAGCTGTTGCTTGGCGGGGGTCTGCTGCTCACAGGCGTTAAAGGCCGGCGACTGCAGAAGAAGGCTCGCAAGGCTCTGCTGGTCCAGCAGGAGATGCAGCAACGGCAGCACCAGCTGCAAATGCAGCGCCAGCTCAAGGCACAGCAACAAACGCTTCTAGAACAGAATCAGCAGCAAACAAAATCTACAAGGCATTCGGAAACTACCAAGGAGGAAACCCAACCAACACAGCAGCCCGAGCAGCAACAAAATCACGACCAGAAACAGCAGCAGCAACAACAGCAGCAAAGTCACGCAGTGCAGCATCTCGAGGACAATAACCTGAAGAACCAAGCTAAGAGCTGCATCGCTGCCACCGCCGCTAGCAACAGCAGCAGCGGGAGCAGCAGCTGTTCGTCTTCCAAGCCCAAGGCAGATCCTGCTACTTCCGCGAAAGCATGCCCTGTAGCGGCAGGACGAGCAGGAGGAGGAACAACAGGAGGAGGAACAATAGGGAGGACAGTAGCAGGTGGAGCAAGAGGAGGGAAGGTTGTTCAGCTGCCGACAGTTTCTTTCTCTCCTGAGACAGCGACGAGGTGTCTCCATCGTTGCGCTGCAATTGAAGCGGCGAGGGCATCTTTGCCTGCTGCTGAGGCGGAGGGGCGCGTGTTGTCTTTCCTACTACAGCAGCAGCACCCCAGCTCGAGAGACGCGGAAGACTGCAGGAGCAGCAGTTCGGATGAGGGGCACATGTCAAGCAGCCTTGAGGTTCCCTGTAAACGCAAAAGGAAAAGGTTTATAGACCATGCAAACCAAAGGCATGCAGATGTACTCTGCGTCGCTGGGTCCACCGGCTCTGGCAAAAGCACGCAAGTGAGACCCGTATAGAGACAGGGCCCCCTCCTTTAGGGGCTCCTCAAGGGACTGTCCACAGGGGCCTCCATGCGGCCCCCGTAAATGCCAAAGATTCATAAAAGGGGCTCGTTTGGGGCCTTGCATGCAGTCTTGTATCGTAAAGTACTACAAGTGCATGCGCAAGCAGGGCGTATGGAGGGATATGAAGGGGCTCGAGCGCTCTCTGTAAGGGCCCTCAAAAGACCCTACTGAGTGACTCCGTGGGGCCTCATGGGGAGGGCTCGCTGTGCCGTTTCACACATTCCTCCACGCGATGGACCGGCCGTTTGTTACTTTGTTTGTTTGCTTATTGGTCTTTCGCCTGTCTGTTATCTTGCTAATTTGGTTGATTGGTTGTGTTGTTGGTTGTCGGTTTGTTGTCAGTTCACTTACTGTCCGTTCGCTTGCTTGTCTTGTTGATTGGCTTTTTGTTATGCTGTTTGCTTGCATTTCTGGAGTTTTGATTTTGGCTCTTTGTTGGCGTACTTCTTGTCCGCGGTGTGGGCGCGTGCCTCGTTGTTCGTTCGATTGGTTGTTTGTTCCCATGCTTGGCTGCACTGTGCGCAGATCCCCCAATTTGTCTTTGAGTCAGGAATCTGCTACCCAGAGATGCTCTTCCACAAGAAATGCCAAGCGGCTCGCCAGCTGCTTCAAGAGGAGACAGCAGTGGGGCCCCAAACGAGCAACTCCGCTGACCCTGGAGATGCGCCTGCAGCACCAGAAGCAGCAATAGTGCCTGCAGCTGCTGCGGTCCGGCTGGGCGTTGTCTCAGCAGAAGCAACTAAGCAAGGAATCCTTGTTCGTAGACAGCTGTGCATTTGCATCACGCAGCCGCGAAGAGTTGCTGCTGTTTCCTTGGCTAGAAGAGTGGCAGAGGAGATGGGATCGCAAGAGCTCGTGGGCTATCAGGTGGGCTCATTAAGTTTTTTCAAGTGTTTCTTCTTGGCGCGGCTTCTGTGGTATGCTGCTGCCGCTTCTCCTGCTCGTGCCTGTGCCTACATTGGCTCTTTTCTATCCTGTTGCTTTTGCTGGGAAGTCACCTCCTGCGTCATAAATGCAGCAGCAAAACTCAACTTGGTGTATCTGCTCAACGTTCACAAGGAGACAGTGGCAGAAACAACTGAGGGGGTCCAGGGTCTGACTAAGACGGCGAAGCTGTGGAGGCCACCGGGTCTTCTTCCACATTGCGTGCTGCCTTTGCAGGTTCGCCACGACAAACACAACGTGGGGCCCCGTTGCCGCCTCAAGTTCGCGACCGATGGCGTTTTGTTGAGGGAAATACAGGAGGACTTCCTGCTTAGGTAATCAACTCACGATTTTCCTAGCAAGGGCTCTGCAACTCTGCTGCGGCCTCGGACTCTTGTCTCGCCTCACTCGTCCCCTCCGCTAGGGCCTTCAGTGTTGCTGGTGCTGGGCTCTTAACGGCTTGCTGGCAAGGGGATCCTGAGAGCTCCCTGCACATGCACTATATTTAATGCCTCAGTTGAGGACCTTTGGTGTTGTGGTGGTGGCGGTGTTCGGTGTTTTTAGAACTACGCTAGTCTGGTTTTCTTTCTACGCTAATTGTGTCAGCAGGGATATGTGGCTGTGTTGTGTTGGCGCGTGTCGCGGGACTCAGGAAGTACTGCTGCATTGTGGTAGACGAGGCCCACGAGCGCAACATCAACGTTGATTTGTTGCTGGGACTTTTGTCTCGAGTGGTGACTCTGAGGCGCGAGCGGTTCATGCAAGAGAAAGACACACTGCCTCCACTCAAGTAAGCAGGGAGGCATGTAGCGTTCAGCAGCACTGGATAGTGTATGGATGGGGTTGGCAAATGCAGTGCTTTTTGCTCTCTTTGGGGGCTACTTCTGATGTGCCGGAGCAACAGCAACGGGTCTTTGCAAGCTCCCGTGGACATGACTTCAAGATGTGGTGTATCCGTGACGTGTATGGCCCTTCTGCCTTTACCCTGCACTCGTCTCTCGGCAGCATGTACTGCTGTTGCCGCTGCTGCTGTGGGCCCCTCAGTGGAAGTCGGCTGAGTGAAGTTTCTGTCTTGCAGAGTGTTGATAATGTCAGCCACTCTTAGAGCCACGGATTTCACAGCCAACGCCCACCTTTTCTCTCCCCCACCAGCCTTGTTGACTCTGGAGAGCCGCACATTTGAGGTGCGAGTACACTTCAGCAAGAAGACACCCGACCGATATGTCCAAGCAGCCGTCAAGAAAGCGCTCCAAATTCACACGTGAGTTACACCCTGTGTCAGGGGGAGTCCCTCTTGCTTGCAGAGCCACTCCACCTGTTGCACGAGGTGACCAGTGGCTCAGACAAACACGGAGGAAGATGACAACCGGCGGGTCTGGCTAGCCCCTCAGCCCTTGCCAAGGAATGACAAGATACTAGCTGAATGGGTAAACAAAAGGGGTATCTGTTGTTCCCAGCGAGAGTATTTCTGTGTCTAGAGTGCAAAAGGAATGGAAAGGTTAGCCGCTGCAATCGAAAGCCCTTCTTTGCAGCTACTAATGCGAGGAAACAGTGCTGGTGGGGATCTGTGGGGCGTCTACAGGCGTCTCCCCGCGGGGTCTGTGCTCGTATTCTTAACGGGGAGGTCAGAGGTCTTGGAAGCGGTGAAGATGCTGCAGGAGTGGCAGCAGCGGCGAGAGAGGAAGCTGCGGTTTTCCTCTGCGACTGCCACTGTTGCTGCTGCTGCAGAAGACGAATCTAATGAGGAAACTGCCTCAGAGGCAGAGTTTCTGCTATCTGATCAGAGCGAGGACGAGCCGCTGCCGCTGGAAGAGAATGCTCCAGGAAGCTCTGACAGTGATGTGTCTCTACACTCGCAAGACAGCGGAGCTTCTCAAAGCAGGGGGCGATGGAGGCACAAACCCGGTTTGCCTGACAAGCTGCTGGAGCTGGCCCTAGGGAGCGACGCAGAAGACAATGAGGAGTCTCAGGATGGAGTCAAGGAAGCGGAAGCGGCAGTTCTGCAAGCTGTACTATCTGCTTCTCGTGCCTCCCCGTCTGTTCAGGGGAGCCCTGGGGGGGTTCCCAAGACCGGCGACGGCACTTCATCTACAGGATCAGGAGAAAGAGGGTCATCGGAAGTTACTGCTGGAGATACCAGAGACGACCCTAAGGCAGCAAGGAAGAGTAGAATTGTGGAGACGCGTGTCCCGGGCAATACTCTGGGGGGGACCAATCTGTCTTCAGCCGACTGCATGAAATCTGCACAAGTCACTGAAGGGAAGCCAAGGTCGCATGAGGCGACTCCTGGGGCCTCTGCAGCTCATACGCTGACTGCCACATTCGATGCTCCAGACATGTCAAAGCGCCGGAACCAAAAAGGCGTCCCTGAAGGAGGGTGGCTGGGCGCAGGCGCGCTACGACGGAAGAAGCCGTCGGAGGGGAAGAGACACAGCAGCAGCACTGGTGAAGTGCAGGAAGGCGCACGACTCTCCGATGCGAAGGATACCGAGGAGTCGGAAGAAACTCACTCCGTACCGAGGCTCACTGTTCTCCCGCTGTACGCGACGCTGCCTAGGGAGCTACAGCGCCTCGCCTTCGAGCCCCCCTCCCCCGACGAGAGACGCGTGATCGTAGCAACCAATGTTGCGGAGACATCTCTGACGCTGCCGAACGTGCGGTGCGTATCTGCTAGCAAGTGCACCCATAATACCAGAAGAGGGTCCAGGGTCTGATGTTTAGGAGTTTCAGCAGGAATACTCCGGAAAATCATGCACTTTTACTGCACGCTGTATAGAATATCCGCGGGTTTGCTTCATGAAAGAGCTGCATTTGTGACACGATGCACGCATATTTCTTGAGTTCCCTTTCCGAGGGCTCGTTGTCATTGCTTGCGAAGAGGAATGGCCCGCATTCTTTTCCTTTTCCGTATCTCCCATTTCTCCGAACTATCAGTTCCTTTCAATCTGAGAGGACGCTTCTCTCTTCCCCCAGCGGATCCCTGGTGTTCGGCACTTGAGGCTTTGCACGAATTCAGCGTATGGCTAGGGGTGAACAGCGTATGGATCCCCATGCTTCGTGTTCATCGGTGGACTTGTTCCTGAGCTGCTGCCGCTGGCTTGGCGTTTGGTTTTTGTGTCATGTTTGTATCCTTAACTGCAGAGGGCTGTCCATTGTCGCACTTCATGTGTGTTGCTGTGCGCAGTTACGTCGTGGATTCAGGGCGGGAGAAGAGGAGGATCTTCACCGGGTCGGAGGGCTTCTCGTACTTCACCGTTACTTTGACAACCCAGGCAGCAGCTCAGCAACGCACTGGTCGAGCTGGTCGCGTCGGTGCTGGCGTCTGTTATCGATTGTACTCCTCAGCCGTTTTCCAACATGATATGGAACCTCACCCAACGCCGCAGATACACACGGTGCCGCTGGACCACTTGCTACTATTCATGGCTGCGCTGGGTTCGTCGATGGCAGCATGCCAACGCTGGCTTCTGGCTGGGTGCACTCCGTAGCGTGAGTTAAGGACAGTAGCAGCATGCGCTAAGGGTTTGGAGTTTATGATGGGCACAGCTTCCTTTTCCCGCCGATATCTGCCTGTCTTCGCAGGAATCCCCCGCCCATCCGCCTTCCCCTTTCCTTCTCCACCTCCAGGGACTGCCCTTGCCAATGCGCGTCGCCGCCTGGTTGCACTGGGGGCTCTCGAGCCCAAGTCGAATCTCTCGGCGCCCCGTCGCAAGCAGCAGCGGAATGACGGTCGCGAACCTGAGGTTTGCTGCACAGCGCTTGGCCGCCGCATGAGTGAAGTGCCGATTCCCCCCCGCTTTGCAAAGATTCTGCTTTTGGCGTGCTCCCGGTAACCATCGCTCCACATTTCCTGCTTCGTGTGTCGCAACGATACCTGCGTGCTAGTGATGTATTTGGACGCTGGAATTTGCGTGGCTGCATCGATCCAGTCATGACGTTGCATGAGTTGCTCACGTCCAGTCGTGCCGTGTTCATATTCACGCACTTGTGCCGTGGTTTATACCTGGTTGTTGTCGGCGTTCCCTTCTTCTGCATGCACCTGATGACTATAGACAACCTAATGACCTATTTCAGGTCTACCACCAATCGAAATTAAGGCTCTGTAGTTTATCTGCCCTTGCCGGCGCTTGCGTCAGGTGGTTGGGTAACTAGGTTTTGTTCTACGCAGGTGGCTTCCACTGGCTTGTTTGTGTTTCCTGCATGCAGGCACAAAGAGCACGGCCCCCAATTTGTCGCCCTAGCGTGCTATCTAGTGGCTGCCCTCTCTATTGGAGAGTTGCTGCCGACTTTGCCTCGGGAGGGCGAGGCGTCGGATCCAGAGAGTGGCCCGGCGGGTCTCCCAGGATCCGCCAGGAGCCCCGGTAGGAGGCCATGGCAAGAGTACGACAGCGACCTAGATGCATACATTTGGCTTTGCGGAGCCTATAGCCACGCGAAGAATCCGATCAGCTTTTGCAAATCATATGGCGTGGACGCCTCCAGATTGGCTGAGGTGGGGGCGCTTGCAGCGCAGCTGGCCCAGCTTATGCGTACCCTGCTGCAGCAGGCTCGACGTACGGATTCTTCTCAAGCTGCTGAGGCTGATCTGGAGGTGTTGAAGGCGCCTCTGCGGCTTGAACCTCCAGCGCCGGAGGCCAGACGCTGCCTGCACCAGTGTGTCGTGCAAGGCCTCATAGATCACGTGGCGGCCTGGCAAGACCCGCCCCGTCTGCCTCCAGACGCGTCCCCAGCCCAACGAGCAGCAGCTCGCGGGGGCTACCGCTGCGCGGAGCTCAAAGGGGAGTTGGCTCGCGTCCACTGCACCTCCAACATACTGCACGTCTCGTAAGTTTGCAGAGCATGCCTTCCTCCTCCTGTACTGTCTCGCGACGGAGCGGACGCTGGCTGCTCACATCCTGCAACAGGGGCCCAGGCGGATGCCGGGGGTGCACCGACTGCGTTAGGGAATCGGGAACTCTTGCACAGGAGAAAAGAAAATCTAGATTGGCTGCTGAACACGGATATAAAGGGTTTGTGGTCATCGATGCATGCAGGCCTCGGCCGAAACTCCTCGTCTACAACCAATTAATTCACACTGGCCGCGGGGTGCTGCAAGTCTGTCATCCAATTGACGATGTGGATCTTAGCAGCAGCGACACGCCGCTTGTACAGCACAGTTTTCTGCAATTGCCGGCCCCAGCGTAAGCCGTGTTTTTTAATCTCTTCGGAGTCTTACAGTCCATACAGCATATTCCTGGCAGCGTCCAGCGGGTGCACCTGGCACCTGCTGGACACTGTCGTACACCTCATGAATTGTTATGAAATGCTGCAAAATGCTTCTTATCTGCAGATACGACCCAAGCCGAGATGCAGTTGTCGGCTGGTCCCGGCCAACGTACGGTCCCCTACAGTTGCCGCTGCCGGCAGTCGAGAGACCCCTCCCCCGTATTCGGGGTCCGGTGGCTTCGCCGCTCTCCACCCAGGAGCAGCAGCAGCAGCAGCAGCTGTACGCATGCTTTGCTGCAGCACTTGTAGCTGGGAGGGCCATACCTCGTCTCAAGAAGTTCGGGCCTTCCTTGTCGGTAACGGCCGAAGGAATGCTTGCAGGGAGCTGCTCGGGGACGTTCGCAGTGCGGGCCTTTGTGGCGGAACTGGCCAAGAGAGAGGTTGCGTCTCGGTAAGAAGATCCAGGCGTCTGTCCGGCTCCGCTTTGTGTTTCCTGTTGCTTGCTAGCTAGTCTTTGGTACTGTTACCATTCGCGTCTCTGAGCAGCTACTTCAGAAGGGAAGTAAGGCTATTTTAAGTTAGAGCGCGCCTGTGTCGACCTGCTTGAACCTCCGTGTTTATCGTTCTACTGCGGCGGCGTGTCCCTGTTGGTCCTCAATGTGCATACCATGGGGAAAGAAAGTCAGAAGTCATTTGCGGGAAATAACTGTGAAGTAGTTGATATTTTGCTAATATTTGATCCTGCCTTACACGGTGGGCAGCTATGCTGTAATATGGGACAGCGAACACGCACTATAATGCTGAGGCACTGTCGCCCATGCGCTGCTTCTGCCCTCTGTTCAGGGCTGAGCTGCTTAAGCTGTGGAAGTCGGAGCCGAAGTTCTTACTCGCCGAATTTGTTGGGCTGTTGCGTTCATACAACTACGAGACGTTGCAGGATGTGCACGACATATGGCCGCCCGTATGAGATGCGACCGCAGCCGCCCTGTTCTGGGAGTAGGAAGCCGATAGAGAGACTGCAGCAGGAGCAGCCAGTTTTATCTTAGCCTGCCCAGGCCAGTTGCCGGGACTTAAGCCCTCCTAACTGTATTTCGTCGGCTCTATTGGCTGTACCCCAAACCAGACAGCAAAACAGGTAGTTCTGTCCTAGTCGCAGTCGTCTGCAAACACCCCTTCTCTTTCCCCGCGCCCTACCCCGTTCTTGGCTTCGCAAAAACTGCCCGATTGCTCGCAGAGCCATAACATGTAGCAGATGCTCCGTACTGAATATCTCCATTCCTCTCTCTAAACTTTGGCAGTCTCGGAAGCCTCCTGAGAACCAAGTTGAGTTGCCTGAGCGGGCTTCCGGGGGGTTGCCTCCCCAGAAGCCGGCGAGGGGGGGACAGCAGCACTCCCTGCATGGTGATAGGCGTATTGGGCCGTGAGAGACATCAACTTATTCAGTCTTCCCAGCATTGACTTCGGTTCCTCCATGATCCCGGCTGCGATGCGGGCGTTGTCGAATAGCTGCTCCACTAAGAGCTGCAAGCAGGGGCAGCATTCCCATCCCCAAACAGCAGTGCAACAGCCACCGTCTGCAGCTCTTCATCCACGGCGTTCCTCCATACCCTCTATCTCGCAACGCCTGTTGCAGGCATTGTATATAATATATATGAGCAGTTTCCGACGTGTTACGCAGACTTTTGCGGAGCCTAGAGTGCTTTTAGTGAGAGTCGTTGCTTACCTTGGCCACGTCGGAATTTGAGGTGCGGAGATGATACAGAGAGGTGATCAGTTCATGCGAAGGGTTTAGCTCAAGTGTGGCAGGAAGGCTCGCCAGGTCTGTGACCCACATACAGCAGACTCAAAAGTGTGAGCGCAATGCCGCAATTCCAACATGCCAAACAAACACAGCAGCAAACTGCGAACATACGCAGGCTGCAATGCAGCACCTCGTGTTGCAGCATATCATTTTCTCGCAGTGGCTGCAGCTACTGCTCTGAGTAATAGTAGTTTCGTTTCTGTATAGGATTTCACGAAATCCGGAGTGCTTTCTACGCACTAAGCTGCGCATCGGGAGCACCCTGCAGGGTGGCCTTCATCATCCGCCTAAGCGTGGGCGAAAGGAAGCCCGAGACGACTGCGGGAGAAGACAGAAGCCGCTCGGAAAACTTCACGTCAGTAACTCTCGATGCTAGAGTATCCTGAGGACCAACAGTAAGAGACAAGTGATGCCCGGTAGACAACCGGCTGCTGCTTCCTCATATACACCTCGCCACAGAACCATACAGGGCACGCTTGCACGAGGAGTAATAACACATCAGCCAGTGCTGCAGATGGGTGATAAAGACCGCTGCAAATGGCGTTTTAGGCGACAGCAGTTGTCTACTGTAGGTTTCGTGGATCATCCGACGTGTGCAGGGGGGCTAGTGCATGCCGTCTGGCATGTGGGTATAGAGCGATACCTTCACGAACGACGCCAGCTCCGTCTGCTGCTCCCCAACCAACTTCGGCTTCCCCCCATTTTCTTCTGTCGCCTTTGTGTCCTCCTCGTCTGCGGCCTCCTCCTCCACATCCTCCCCAGGAGAGTCCACCGCCACAAGACGTTTCCCCTTGTACTCCTGTGGGACCCACACGCTACGCAGCCAAAGTACGTCTCTACACGAATCCACCGTAGACGAGCAGGAAGTATAAGGCAATACGGATGGTCAGCAAGTGCAACAACTGGACTGCGGAATCTGGCCGCAAATTGCCTCCAGGTCGGTCAGCAAAGCATACGTCACCGCGCCCGACGCACTATGAAAGCTAAATACGAACCCTCTAGTGTAAAATGACCATATGTTGGTGCTGAAGGCGGCAAAAAGGCTCACAGAGAGATTCATCGCCAGGAACTCGTCGATGTCCGCTGTCATCAAGATCACGGGGCGGCTCTTAGCAACATATTGCTCCATGTAAGGAGAGGAGAGAGCCGTCTGCCGGCAGCCACAACAGCCATACACCAGTGGCTCGCTTTAGTGTGTTCGTGACGCCTAACATACCTGGGAAGACAGCTTAAAGTACCCTCCACCTGGTCTTTACGTCCATTTATTTGCGTATGGCGGCGGATTTTCTAAGCACCGTTGAGGTCTACAGAATATTCGACTGAGAACCTGCATACCGTCCTATCTGAGCAGCAGTAGTAGTAGAGGTGTTTCTGTTTGGCAGGCATTTTGTGAAGGTATTCGTCCAAAGTGATCATCTTCCCGGCCTCCTCGGAAGAGCACTCAAATCTGCAGCAGCAGCATAGCATATCAACCCCACCGGACCTGGGTTAGTGTAACGGTATAAACGAGTAGAGGTCCAAGCAAGCTTCGATCGACGCACACAATACAGGGAATTTGCACTCGGCAAACAAAATTGCCGGCAGCAGGCACGCAAGGGAACGGATATAAACAGGACGGACGCTGTCCTGCTGTTGCGGACCTAACTGCAACAAAGAAGCAGAAAAGGGCATACATATATTCTGCAACAAACGGCAGCAGTTTAGGAGGCACCCACCGAAGGAGAGGCAACAGCATGTCTTTGTAGGTGCTGCCGCTGTGTGCATCCTCCAAAACGCCCTCCTTTATATTTTGGGAATACTTCTGGTAGAACTGCTGATACTTTGCCGGATCAGACTTCATCTGCAGGCACGGACACAGAAAGAAGCAAATCCACACAAGCGCATACAAACGACTCTGCTTCACTCTCTACCTACAAACGAGCATCAGCATCCCTATAAAACGGTGTACACGTCGCTGGCACTCGCTTGTGATCGTTTGTGCTGCAGAAGACAGCGAGGGGTACACATAACCCTGGTCCGTGCACGACCTATTGGGCATGCGACTCCATCACTGACACATAGTGGGAAAACGATGGCGGCAGCACCAGACTCTGAAAACCAGTTCTAGCCTTGTTCATATGGAACATTTACGTGCATCTGAGTTGCCAACCCCATCGAAGGCTACTTGTTGTGTACCCCTTCACCATACCCCTGGCCTTCGAAGAAAAGCACGGCCATAGAGAAGTACTAGACACATCAGGAAAAAGCCCATTTGTCGCCATTTGGTGCTGGCTGCGCATGCCGTAATGCCAGCGGCATCTGTGATGTGGCTTACTTGGTCATTGAGGAACTTGAGGATGCGCTTAACGATGACTGTAGATAGTTTGCGCTGCAGCATGGAGTCTTGCATGTGCTCTCTGCTGACGTTTAGGGGGAGGTCCTCGCAGTCTACGATCCCACGGAGAAACCAAAGCCACTTAGGAAGAAGGTCGTTGGCGCTCTTCTTCACGAGTACGCGACGAGACAACAGGGAAACCCCACTCTCCAAGGGACCCGTCTGGAACAGACGGTTCGGCGGGTCGGCTGGGAAATACAAAACGGACTGCAAATATGCACAGATGCAGATAGCTTTGGAGACATGTAAATAAATAGTCGCAAGAAACCCACATAGAAAACCTTGACAGACAAATAGCTATAAAGGAATATTCACGCCGAATGATACACAGCTACACTGAAGTATGGAGGCAAAGACGGAAACACAGACCCCGTCGAAGAGACCACAGACACAAACATGCGCGACAAAGCAATCGCAAACATCGAGACACAAGCACGTTGTGGTGGGACGTTCGCAAAATTGGCGAACGTCCCACCACAACGCGCCAAGAGACCAAA